GCACTGGGTACAGTCAGAAGCGCGGGAGGGTGAGAGAATTCACCAGAGCCAGAGCAGGGAGCTGAACAGGTGGACAGACAACGTACACTGCTGAGGGGAGCAGCAGGCGGCAGGAGAGGTCTGAGAGACATGTGGGACTCTCGCCTGGCAGCCGGGGATTGAACTGGCGCTGCAGAAGCTGCGGGTAGCTTCGCAACCCAGCGTTCAACCGCTGCGCCACCGGGGAGGCCCTTCACTATGATTCTTTTTATGTAAAGATCAAAATTTGTTAAGACAAAAACTAAACTATGTTGTTAAGAATACTTACGTAAGTGGTAAAGCTATATAGAAAAGCAAAAAATAATTAGTGAAAAAGTTAAGATGGTGTTACTTCTAGAGAAGAGTGGTTTTGTAAGGAAACATGCAGGATGCTCCTTTGGGGCTAGCAATGTTTTATTTCTTGACAATATGGTGGTTACATGAGTGTTAGCTTTACAATTATTCTTTAAATTGTACATAAATGTTTTATGCACTCTTTTATTTTTATTTTTTTTAATAGAGGCATGTTTTATTTATTTATTTGTTTGTTTTGTTTGTTTTTTTGTCAGAAGCGCGGGAGGGTGAGAGAATTCACCAGAGCCAGAGCGGGGAGCAGAGCAGGCAGAAGGACCGAAGTACACTGCTGAGGGGAGCAGCGGGTGGCAGGAGAGGTCTGCGCGCCATGTGGGACCCTCCTCTGGTGGCCGGGGAGCAGCCGGGGATCGAACCGGGGCCGCAGAGGCCGCGGGCAGCTTCGCAACCCAGCGCTCAACCGTTGCGCCACCGGGGAGGCCCTTATGCACTCTTTTATATGAATGAGATCTGTCATGATTTAAAAATATCACAGTCATCCAAACAGTGGCATACTATACAGTCATTAAAAAGAAACAAAACAGCTCTATGTACATGAGTGTAGAATAGATTTAGGGGGCAAAAACCTAAAAACAGTATAAGGGAAATAGAATATTTTTAGTATGCTACTGTCTGTGTAAATTTTACAGAGAATATATCTACCTTTGTGCTTATGTCTTCTTAGACTATTTCTAGAAAAACACACAAGAATCAGGTAGTGGCGGGGGGGTGGGGGAGCATCCTCTGGAAGGGGAACTGGGAAGCTGTTTTCCTTTTTGTATTTTTTGAAATTTGTACAATTGCATATTACCTATTAAAACAATAAAATAAGATTTTTTTTTTTGCTTTTCTGTCCCTAGTACCCCCAAGATTTTGGTTTCAAACCAATTTCTGGTGGAAGAGAGTAAGAGCCACAGCCCAGCATGAGGCACATGGCAACCCCAGCAAGTCAGGACCCACCTTGGGTTGCTATTTCTTTGGTTGCAGAAGGAGACTGGGTAGGTGGCTCTCTGAGGCCCTGACATCCCAGCCACAGGTTCTCCTGGCTCCTCTTTCCCCTGCTTTCCGTCCACCCTCTTATTCCAACTCCCTTACTCTATTTTCTCTTTCTTGTTGGAGGTTCTTGCTGCCTCTCTCTCTGCTGCCTCTGACTCTCCTATTGTGTTTCTCTTTCCAGTTCTCTGCCATCATCATAGGATCATTGCTGCACCCACCCCCCACCACCCCAGTCCCTGCCCTCCCTGGCTCTCCATGGACATCTCTATCTTCTTTCTTTTACTTCCTTCCTCCCCACTAGGATCCTGCCCTTGGCAGAGTTCCCAAAGGTACACAAGCTGCATGACCCTGGCCGAGTCACTGACATCTTGGGCCTCCATTTGGCAAGTTTGACAGATGATTGTGGAAACACTGTGCAGGGTACTGGGCAGACAGAAAAGAATCCCTGCCTCCCCCCCACACGCCTTTTAAGGATTTCTTAGCTCTGGGCTGTGTATTATCAGACCCTTCCTGGTCTGCTTGGTATTGCTATGAGTCTGGGTACAACTATTCCAAAAGATTTGAATACTGCAGGTCCCAGGGTAGGTGAAGTCTCAGAAAGTGACCTCTCGTGTGCTTTGGGAATTTCTAGTGTACTTTTGAAATACCATCATCATGTTCCTAATGGGGAAAATGACAAGATGCACACACATATGTATATATCTGTAGATCTATATATCTATTAGACATGCCATTTATTTTCTAAGTAATATTGAAGATTATGAATTTTTTTTTTAAAGATTGATTTATTTATTTATACATGCACTGGGTACAGTCAGAAGCGCGGGAGGGTGAGAGAATTCACCAGAGCCAGAGCAGGGAGCAGAGCAGGCAGAAGGACCGAAGTACACTGCTGAGGGGAGCAGCGGGCGGCAGGAGAGGTCTGCGCACCATGTGGGACCCTCCTCCGGTGGCCGGGGAGCAGCCGGGGATTGAACCGGCGGCGCAGAGGCCGCGGGCAGCTTCACAACCCAGCGCTGAACCGCTGCACCACCGGGGAGGCCCAAGATTATGAATTTTTTAAGATCCGGTTCTCTGTGATGGAGGATAATGGGTGTTTTGGTGGTGGGCTTGGTACTGCAACATACAGCTAAAGAGATGTGAACCTGTGCTCCCAAACCATGTACAATGTTGTAAACCACTGTTACTGCAATAAAAAATAATACCATAAAAAGCCATGGTGCTCGTTGTCTATGAAGATCATCTCCAATCCCATCAAGTGGGAGGACGGGTGGGGAGGATCTGCTGGCACAGAGATGGACACGGGACCCTGACTTTTTGGGCCTCAGATCTTTTATGGACCTCCTTACCGGGATCCCTTGCCCTTGGGCTTGACCAGACTTGGGACAATGGAATCTCTTTCTTCTCCTGGGGCCCTTGAGACTTGTGCCTCAGGAACACGGCGGACTCCAGCACCCAAGGGATCGGGCACTCACAACCAGCCAAGCCTCCCTTACCACCCCTGCGTGCCGCCCACGCTCCTCGACTCGCCACTCAGGCTCTGTGCCTTCCTAACTTCAGGCCTCCAGCTCCCAGAACGGTGGTTCTCTGCTCCCTTGTTCTCCACCTTCTCGCCTTTGTTCATGCTGGTTCCTTGGCCAGGCACACCATTTTCTTTTTGGTATGCTTTCCTGTCTGTGACTAGGATCAAATTAATTGTTCCCCAATACAACCTACCCCCTCCCTCTTTGCCCCAGCCTCCTCACAGAATCAAACTACGTACACATCTATTTTTTAAGTGAGTCTGGTGCCCTTGGAGGCTCAGGACACACCTTGTTCATGTTTGTGTCCATGGAAGACCCTTAATAATAAGTTAGTGGTTAAATGAATAGATTGGAGGGTTAAATAAGCATATAAACAAGCCCGACCTAGACAATAATGAGTGAATGAACACTTCAAGGAGGACTGGTTCTCATGGCATACACTCGCCCCCTCCCCTCCCCCCCAGGAGCTAGAACTTGGCCTTCTTGATGGGGAAGTAGGGAACAAGGCTGCCACCTCTTCTCTTGGGGAGGAGCCTTGGTCAGTTTCCTAAGGAGTCCTGAGCACTTGTGACCTGCACCCCTTAAAAAGTCCCAAGTGCAAAAGCAAAAAGTCAGTGAAGATGGAAGTGAAATAGATCCAATAACGAGTCCAGATCTGTGAATCCCTGGTCTTTGCTGCCAGGGAAGAAACTATTGGGAGGCTGGGCCTCCACCAAAGAGGAGGAAGCAGACTCGTCTTAGTAGGAAGGGGAGATAAAGCAAAAGGTTGGACTACATAGGGGAGGAAATGGAATGTTCAAGAAGTTCTTCCGCAGCAAAGTGGACTCACCAGAGATCAGTGGATTAAAAAAAGGTCTTTATTCATTCCTCTATCCTCCAGACTAGGTCAGGAATTTTGAGGAGGCAGGATTCTGTCCAATACTTTTCTATTTTCTCAGGACCCTGCCTAGAACCTGGAACTTAATATTAACAGAATGCATGGATGGATGGATGGAGGGATGGATGGAGGGATGGATGGATGGATGGATGGATGGATGGAGGGATGGATGGATGGAGGGATGGATGGATGGAGGGATGGATGGATGGATGGAGGGATGGATGGATGGAGGGATGGATGGATGGATGGATGGATGGATGGATGGATGAGTGAGCCAATGGATGAAGAGGCCAGATATACAGTGAATAAACAGATGGAAATATAGATTGCTGGATTAATAACAGCTGGATGGGTTGATATGTGCACATATAGATGGTTAAATGGATAAGTAGATAAACAAGTGGGTAGGTGTATGAAAGGAACCACATACATGGGTAAATGAATGGACAGGTGGGCAAACAGAAGGAAAGTACGATGACTTGATGGATAGATGGGTGGGTGGGCAAATGGTTAAATGATGGATGTGGAAATTGACGAACGGTTGAACAGACAAGAAAGCTTTGTTAACTAGAAAGACTAGACTGATGTTCAAGAACTGGCTAGGGGGAGAGAAACGGAGAAGCCTGGGCTGGAAATAGAGTCCCGAGGGACTTGGGAGAAGGAGAAGAAGAAAGGGGCAAGAACCTCCTCTGGGGGAAGGGAAACCCATGTGTGAAGATACCGAAGGAAGCAAAGGAGAGCCGTAGTCTGCTGAGCAGCCTACCCTGAGCCCAGGCCCAGCTTGGGTAGAACCTAACCTTTGGGGTCCCAAGACCAAGGAAGATCTCAGAGCCCTTAGCCAGCCAGGTTGACCCTAGAAAGCAGAGGCCACAAGAGGCCACTCCTACCAGCTCTGGCCCCAAGGAAGTGACCGTTGGCCATGTGAGGGTCTTGAGAGAGCAAGGCATTTGTGGAGTTAGGGTTAGAGAGCTCAGCAGGGCCTGGGGAAACAAAGGTCCCCAGAGCCAGCCTTTTCCCTTCCACCCTCCCTCCCCACCCCAGCCCCCAGCCCGCCTCTCACAGTCCCAGCTTCCTCTGGGCAGGGGGCCTGGCCCCCATGGCCTCCCAGGCCAGCCTTGGAGCACCACCTGCCTCAGTCGGCCAGAGACTTCCTGTAGCGCAAGAGATTTATGCAAACGGGCTGGGGCGGTGATGTCACCCCAAAGGGACTATCTCCCAGAGGCAGGCCCTCCGATAAAATCAGGAACTTGCGCTGGCCCTGCGATGTCAAGGGAGGGGGCTCGCCAAGGGCTCCTGTAGCGCAGGGGGGCAGGCCTGAGCCCTGCGCCCGCCCCGAGTCCGAGTCCCATCTAGCCCCTGACGGGGCACCCCATTCCAAGGGGCTCCGCACTGGCCCCCACCGAGGCAGGGGACCTGACTGACTTGGAGCTCGGCTGGATGTTACAGGCGTGCAAAATGGAAGGGTTTCCCCTCGTCCCCCCTGTGAGTACTGGGACTCCAACCTGGGGCCCTCGGATGCCTGCCGTCCGCCTGCCCGGCAGCCCAGCAGCCCACCGCTGCCCTCCCGGCTCACTATCAGTGGGAAGTTGGTGTTTCCTCCCTGGAGCTCCTGGCCTGAGAGCCAGCGAGGGGCCATTGGCTTCTCGGAGCACACCCTGGCGGGTGGAGGGCTGGGCCCATGGTGGGGCTGCGATCTGTGGGGTGAACAGTTATTAAGGATGAGACTGGGGTGGCCGGCCAGAGCTCCAGGCCAGGGCGCTGGGCTGAGAATGGTGAGGGCGGCCGTGGGGAGGTGGCGGTGGCGATGGAGAGGCGGCCGTGAGAGAAGCCGGTACCCAGGGCGGGGAAGGCTGGAGGGCAGAAGGGCCACAGCTAGGGCCTTGGCCCATGGCCTGGGTGCTCCTGGAGACTGAGGCTGCTCTAAGTCTGGTTCCCGGGGCCCAGCTGGGTCCTGGCACAGAGGACATGGTTGTTGACCGCAGGGCCTGGGCCTTGGGCCCTCACGTCTCTGAGAGGCCTGGGCAGCAAGCAAGGGGTAACAACAGAGGCTGTGCGGGCGCAGAGACTAGGACTGCCGTTTGGGCTGTGGTGGGCTGGGGCTCAGGGATGGGAAGGCAGGACAGTGGCTGGGGAAGCCTGGGGCTGAGGTTGGGCTGTGATAGGAGCTGGTGAGTGCGGGGCTGGAGTGAGGGCAGGGTTGAGGCTGGGACAGGGACTGGAGGCAAAGAAGCCAGAGTTCCAGGGAGCCCTGGGGAGAGGAACGGCATCACGCTGGGGCTGACTCCCCCTGTGTGTGCTCTTGGTAACAGTCATGGCCTTCGGCAGTTGTCGGACATGAGTCCCTCTGAAAAGACCCCCTCCCTTCCCCCCCCAGCACCCACTCAGCAGGGTGTGGGGCCCTGCGGGGAGCCGGGAAGGCTTGGCAGGGCTGCCCCACCTGACTCAGCTTTCCCGGCAGAGGCAGCTCCTTCTGCTGCCTCACCCCAGTGTACCCAAAGCCAGGGGAGGCTCCCGGGCCTGACATCCTGCTACTGGGCTGTGCTGCCTGGAAAAGCAATGCTGGGTTCTGGGCCCACCCTCCCCACCAGGACCGAGAACGGGGTGATGGTCATGGGCCCAGGAGGACCAACTCTGCTTCGGCAAAGCCACAGGCTTGGCCACTGTCGCTGACCCTTGACCTCACAATCCCTGAACGCCAGATACTGCCGGGCAGGTGGCACAGCTTCTTGGGTTCCCACAGTAAGCCCCTCAGCCCGGTTCCCCCAGCCAGGGAGGCTACTCTGAGGGACCCCTGAGAGGGCGGGCTCTCTAGTAAGTCCCGGCCCCCAACCCAAGCCCTGAGGGCTGGAGTTGTTGTTGTGTAATCCTCAGGGCAAACTGCGGGGTGGGGACAGGCCAGCCGGGGACTGTTGGGATGACTGGGGGAGTGAGCAGTCTCTGCGGCTGTGTGGGGGAGCGGGGAGGAGGGTGAAGGAGGAGTCAGGGAAGAAGAAGGAGGGGAGAGAGGAAGGGGGTGGGGGATGGGAGGAGTGAGGATGCAAGGGAGGAGGGAGGCTGTACCCCAATAGTGTGTTTGAAGGAGGAGGGAGCAGGGAGTGTGAGAGCATTAAGGCTCTGGAAGTCCCATGTCCCCCAAGACTGGGTGAACCCTGTAAAAACCATCAGTGAGCAGGACTATGGGTCCTGGCGGAGGCCCTGGGCACGCCGGGGGCCTGGCCACAGGCTGGCAGTGGAGAGGGATGGGGCTGTGGATGGTGGTGGCAGGAAGTACCAGAGCGCTCGCCCGTGCTCGGGCCTCAGGGTGAAAGTGGCGTCTGGTGCGTGGAAGCTGGAGGTGTGAGCTTGTGCCAATGTGCTAGAAGGCAAGCGTGTGTCTGTAGGGTGAGTGTACCTGGGGGTGCGTGTGGCCACAGCATCTGAATGGGGGTGACCCTTAGAGTGAGAGTGGACCTGTGGAGAGCAGCTGAAGGGGGGTAGGCACTGCAGTCTCCCCTCTGCCCTGGTCCTTTTTTGACCTCTGACTTACATCACTGGGTCCTGCTCAGGGGAACAGGACCTCCTGCTCTTCTGGGTTCCCTTCCCTGGCTCTGTGGCCTCTTCCGGTTCAAGCAGAGAGAGGACTCCAGGCTGGAGGCAGCCGTTCTGTCTGAGACAGTGATGTGGACCCAGCAGATTGGGGGGTTGCAAACCTGGCTGGGGTCTCCTGACACCCTCCTTTCTCAGCAGCCGTCGGAAGACCTGGTTCCCTATGACACGGATCTGTACCAACGCCAGTCGCACGAATATTACCCTTACATTGGCAGCGATGGAGAAAGTCACAGTGGTGAGTCCAGGGCCCTGCCAGACTCGCTGCCCTGCTGGCCTGGGCCGCCCAGTGTGTGTAGGATCTAGGGAGAATAGAAAGAAGCTGGGGCCCCTAGGGCAGCTTGGGAATTCTGAGAATCAAATCAAATTAGCTCTCAGGGCACACGGGTTCACTACCCCACCACCCCCATCTATCATGCGGCTCTGTTGTGCCAAGGCTCGGGGTTATCTTCTTCTACAGTGGCCTTCCTGTCCAATCCTTCTGGCCTTTTCACAAGTGAGGAGACCGAGGCTCAGGGAGCTACGTGACCTGTACAAGGTGACAGCTGGTCAGTGGAACCCAGTCTGTCTGCTCCAGACCCAGTGCTTTCACCTCCCTCTCTCCCTCCCCCTCCTCCGCCCTGTCCTTGTCACCCCTTTGCTCTGAACTCGCTTCTGGTACATCACCACTCCCTGCTGGTATGACTAGCGGGTTTCTCTATTGACATCTGGATAATTCTATGTACAGGGTGTGGCCTGCATGCTGTAGGACGCTCAGCAGCAGTGGCATCGCTGACTTCTGCCCCTAGATGCAGGTGGCACGGCCTAGCAGGACGACCAAAACTGTCGCATCAGATCTAAATGCCTGCTGTTTGAGGACTGCAGCAGGGATTGAAGCCCCCAGTTTGCTGGGGCTGGGGGTGAGGATAAGCCAGGGAGAGGATCCTTCTGTCTGGTCTAACTGCCCACTCCAAGGCCCTGCCTGGATCCTGGAGCAAATTCAGGGAAGGGAGAGAGGCATGCGGTGCCTGGAACTTGGGTAGGAGGCTGAGAGGTCACCCCAAGTTGGACCTGGCATATTGACAGCCCTAATCCAAAGGTGAGGTAACCTAGTTAATAGGTCTTTGCTGGGGATTCTGTCGGGACTCTGAAAGACTTGGGTGCCAGACACTGGGGTGTCCTAGACCCAGAGGGAAAGCGCTGGCTGCCATGGCTGAGGAAGGTTTCATACCTGAAGGCCATTCCTAGGGCCAGTCACACCTGGAGTCCCATTGAGGCACATCTTGGCAGGGTAACCTGATGGCCACACCCAGAGGTGTCCCATGAGGAGAGTCCTTATTTAGGATTCTCACATCTGGATACCAAACCTCACAAACAGCTTCACCTGGGATATACACTGGGCAACGATTATAAAGATGCTACCTGCAGTCTACTTGGGAGTAGGTGGTGGATGTGCCCCAATGTTTGGTCTGGGAACATAATTATCTCAGAACCCTGAGACTAGAAAGGCTTTAAAATACCCTTTTTCAACCTTATAAGTTTATTTGTAGCTCTACAAAAAATACACCCTCTCTGTGAAAAAGACAGATAACTTAGAAGAAAAGCTCCTTTTCCAACTCTATGCCCAGTTGCCGGAACCAGCTCAAGGTCCTCCTCCCTGCCTGGTAAACCAGCACACGCACCCTTCATTAGCGGTTCAAGACCCAAGACGGTCACTCTGGGCTTGAGGATTGGCGCCCCCTGGTGGTCCCACCCAGGACGGCTCAGGTCCCAGCAAGCTGGCTCTGCCTGTGGGCCCCTCCTCCACTGGGGATCCTCTCTTCTCTGACCTAGCCTGCTCAGCTTCACTGGGTTTGGGTATTTTGCAGCCTCGGTGTCTCTGCTGTAATATGAGGCTTCTGGCCCTAGAAGTCACCTAGGCCTGGTGTTGGGGCTGATGGAGAGAGCACTTTGGAGAAAGCTTGAGCTTTCCTGGCTCGGCGTCCAGATGAGTCCCTTCTATATGGGGTGGGGTTTTGGGAAGGACTCCTCACTGGATGCCTGAGCATACCAGTTGGGTCATGAAGCCCCTTCCTTCAAAAGTCCAATGACAGTTCCCAGGTGTCCCAGTTCCTACACCCCCTCGTACCCACCTCCTTCCTTCACTGCCTACCTGGGCATAATACCTGTTGGAAGGTATTGCTGGAAGACTTAAGAATAGGGACACCTTCACATTCTTCCTCCAGTTCCCACATGTGCTCCGCATCTACGTTTTTAGGTGGTGGAACTCAGTAAAAAGACACACAGGCCACTTGGGCCTAGTCTTGGCTCCATCACTCATCAGTGATGGAGTCCTTGTTTCCTCATCTATAAAGCTGAGAGCGCGGAAATACTTAGATGATGGGTTTCTGACTGTTCAGTGAGGTAACGCATGTAACATTTGAGGTCCCTAGTACACGGCCCAGTAAACTCTTGGACACAGTGTCAGCTTTACTGCACCTACCCCCAGGCAGGAGGAGAAGCAGCTGAGAGAGTGGAAACACTCTCACAGGGATAATTATCCCTCACAGGGATAATTTTCCACTGTCCTGACTGACAGACCCAGTCACCTAACAGCCACTTAACTTACCCTTGCATTCATCTAGCTATCTCCCCCTTCTCCCAACATGTATCGTCCTCCTGTATCATCCTCCTACCACTCACCTCCTCATCTGCCTAGGCATCCGCCTCTGATGATAAGTCCTGTACCAGACACTGTTGTAGGCTGTTTGGGGCAGGGGTGTCCCTGATGAGCAAGCCACACATGGCCGCCGCCCTCGTGGAGCTTCCGTTCCAGGGAGGGAGAGAGGCAGTGACCAGTCAGCTGGGCAGATATTACCCAGAAGTCCTGTAAAAAGCAGAGTAATGTAAGGGAGAGTGTCTGTGTGGGGGGAGAGGCCAGGGAAGGCCTCTGAGAAGCGGCAGTTGAGTGGAAGTTTGAGTGAAGACAGGAAGAGGGAGTTCCAGGTAGAGAGCCCTTAGGGACACGGAAGTGACCTCAACAGAGTGGCCGCTGAGCAAGGGGGAAACAGAGAGAAAAGGAAGCCAGGGGGTGTGTAGGAGGCAAATCACACAGGGCTTGAGGCCACGCATGAGTTTTGATTTTATTCTACCCACCGGGAAGACATTGAAGGATATTGTGCAGGGATAGGGCGCCATTTCAGTCAGTGTGTGTGTGTGTGTGTGTGTGTGTGTGTGTGTGAGCGCGCGTGTGTGTTGAAAACGAAATAAATGTTTACTTGTTAATTATGAAAGAAATACTCGCTGCAAGAATTTCAGAAACACAAAAGCAAGTCAAGTAAACCATTTCCCCCTTCCCGATCTCACTCCCCATGGGAAGCACCTCCGTCCACCTCACAGACATTCTGTTTTATATATTTAATCCTAGATGTCTCCCCACGGACACAAACACGTGCCCTTACTCTATTCATTCAAAAGTGGAATTGTCGTAGCATGTTGTTCTGCAAATTTCTATTTCTTACTTAAGTCCATCACAGACATTTCTCCGTGGCACACACACAGTGTATCACAGAGATTCAAGTGGTGTTTCCAGGCTTTCTTTCTTTCTTTCTGCATACAAGAACTGGGGTATAAGCCAGAGGTGCGGGGCGGGGGGGGGGCGGTGAGAGGATTCACCACAGATAGCAGGTAGCAGAACAGGCAGATGCACTGAAATACACTGCTGAGGGGAGCAGCGGGCGAGGCAGGAGAGGTCTGCTGTGCCATGTGGGTAGCTCCCTGGCCAGACGGGCATGGCACTGGTGCTGAAGTGGCTGGCGATAGCTTGATAGCGCTGTCTTTAACCCCTGCGCCACCAGGGAGGCCCTCTAGTCTGTCTAATACAGGGCTACGGACATGTAAGTGTGCAGATTTGAAATAGGGACTTAGAGTCTATTCACTAACAGACATTGGTTGAGTACCTTCTATATGCTATTGATAGCTTTACTTTCCAATTTGAGATGCTATCTATTCACTTTATCATAAAAAAATGAGAATTTGATTCTCCAGTCATGCACGCGCACACTCACACACACACACACTCACTCAAACTTCTCCACACATACCAAAATAACTATAAAGTAACTTTCCCCAATTTCATTGATATAATTGACCCACACTATCTAAGCTTAAGGTGTACACACACACACACACACACACACACACTGAAATGATTGTCACAATAAGTTTAGTTAACGTCACCTCATGTAGTTACCAAAAAAAAGGTCTCTCCTTGTGATGAGAACTTTTAGAATCTGGTGTCTCAGCAAATTTCAAACATGCCAGAGAGCGGTGTTAGCTAGGACTCGTGCTGTACATTATACCCTCAGGACTTACGTAACTTACCACTGAGTTTGTACCTTCGAGTTTGGACCCACTTCCAGCCTCAGGCAGCCACAAATCAGCCCTCTTTTTCTGAGTTTAAGTATTTTAGATTCTACGTATGAAATCACACTGTATTTGCTTTGCTCTGTATAGTAACTTCTGTTAGATGAATATCTGAGTTTTCTTTTTTCTTTTTTTTTAAAAGATTTATTTATTTATGCATACAAGAGCTGGGGTACAGGCCAGAGGTATGGGGGGTAAGAGGATTCACCAGAGACAGAGTGGAGAACAGAACAGACAGATTGGCCAAAGTACACTGCTGAGGGGAACAGCAGGCAAGTCAGGAGAGGTCTGCTGAGCCATGTGGGTTGCTCCCTGGCTGGCCAGGGATGGAACTCATGCTGCAGAGGCTGCGGACATCTTCATAGGTTGTCTTAACTGGTTGCACCACCAGGGAGGTCCGAGTATCTGAGTTTTCTGCTGAATCATACTTGGGTGTTTTTCTGAGGGGCAGTGCCATGATCATGGGCAAGTAGTTCACCTCTTTCTGCCTCAATGTCTTCATAACGATCCCTACTTCACAGGATTGCCACAAAGCTCAAGGGATTTATTACATATAAAACGTTCAGGACAGTGCCTGGAAAATAGTGAATATTATATAAGAATTTGCATTCTTGGGCCTCCCTGGTGGTGCAAGCGGTTGAGTGCAGCGCTGTGAAGCTGTCCGCAGCCTCTGCAGTGCCAGTTCGATCCCTGCTGGCCTTGGAGCAACCCACATGGGGAGCAGACCTCTCCTGTCTTGCCCGCTGCTCCCCTCAGCAGTGTATTTCATCAGTCTGCCTGTTCTGTTCCCTGCTCTGCCTCTGGTGAATCCTCTCACCCTCCTGCGCATCTGGCTTGTACCCGGGTTCTTGTATA